ATACCCTTTGTGGGTTTGCACAAATACCTGGAACAAATGTACCCTTGTATCAAAATATCAGCAAGCATGTTTAAGTATTATGATGAGTGCCTTGTAACAGTGTATTAAAAATATTTTAAGTTCTTATATCAGTACCTTAATAAGTATCATAGTAACTACTAAAACATGTAGCATGGATATTATTTCAACCTTACAGAATAATTTGTTTTTTTATACAAGTGTTTCTATTTACTGGTTTATTCCTTTCTGTTGATAGGTATGTGTAATCTCTCACAGAAGCGTTACGAATGCGAGATATGCCATGCTTATTTAACATCCCCCACCACTCTGTACCGGCATCAGCGATTCACCCATTGGGAAAGACGATCATGGGAATGTTCGTTATGTGAAAGAGTGTACAACCATCCAGAAAGTTTAAAACGACATCGTCGTACAGACCATGGAGTTTTTGGTAGACTCCAAACGTAGTATTTCAGAAAGAAATTTGATGTTTTTTTATGTTTTCTTGCCTTTAAATCAACAATTATGATTTGGATTTGATATTTGAGATGCACTGTGTTATTAGTATAATATGTATCGGAACTTACACTGTGTTACTGGTATAATCAGAAGAAGTAACATGTATCTACAGGAATATGCACTGTTTTATTGGTAGAATCGTGGAATGTAACATGTCTAGAAACATGCAATGTGTTACTGGTATAATCTTGAAAAGGAACATCTTTATAGAAACAAGTACTGTTTTACTGATGTAATCATTAAGTGTAAACGTGTCTCTATAGCAACAAGCACTGTGTTATTGGTAAAATCATGAAATGTTAATTTGTGCTTTAAAACATGCACTGTGTTATTTGTATAATTCAAATGAAATATCAGTGGTTACCATGTATGATATCATCAATATCATAAGAATGTGTATGGTATTATTGATATCATAAGAATGTCTATGGTATTATTGATATAAGAATGTATATAGTATTATTGATATTAAAAAATGAAAATTAACTTGTTGCCACAATACTTGTAACTTTTAAGAAATTTTCTGAATGTTGTGTTATTATTAATCTCATGTGTATAACATTTGGATTTTTTAAGAAAAAAAAGTTTATAGAGCATGTAAATCTGTGTATGAGTTGTCCAAATAATAAAAATGTTCTTTCAATTGTTGGAAAAGCCGTATCTCTTATACATGTTGCGTTTTTATTTATGAACTTGAAACTAAAACAATAAGTGTTTTGGAATAGCTACTTAAGACCTATTATAATGTCATGTGAATAAAAGAAAAGGTGAAGATCAGTAATCTTCAAGATGAGCCAGTTATTGTTTAGGAGTATCATTATTTAAATTCTCTTATTCAATACACTGACTAAAGTACAGATTAGTTTTTCATTTAATGTCATTACAAATGTGAGAGAAATGACATGCATATTTACATCAGATGAACCTGTTTCATGTTTGTTTATACCTAAAATTTTGGTTTCATCAATACAAAGAAACACACAGTTACCAATCTATCATGAGTATTCAGAGACTTGATAAAAAATAAAACTGGGCAGGTTATATACAATTTCTAAATGACAATGGGAGGGTGATGCTGATAAATAGACATGGCTTTTGTACTTTTTTGGAGTGTTTTGTCTCTAAAGTATCATCAAATAAGCAAACTAAACCACACAATTTGGATTTGTTTTCCATATTTTTTATTATATTTTTCAAGATGCATGTGTCCAGGTGTAGTAATATATTTACTAATATCATAACGTAAAAATAAAATGTAGGTTACTACCATATATTTTCTGTCATTTGCCTGTTGAAATATTTTCATCCATTAGACTTTATTTCCAATTTCCACTTGTTCATTGAAATCTTAAAAAGTAGATAATAATGTTGGAGTTTTTTTTATTAAGCCTAATAAGAACTTCGATGATAATGGTACATTTTCCAGGATCAAGCAAGACCTTTAACTGATAATAATGGTAGAGTGTACCAGGTCTTCAAGACCTGTAACTGATAATAATGATAGAGTGTACCAGGTCTTCAAGACCTGTAACTGATAATAATGGTAGAATGTACCAAGTCTTGCAAGACCTGTAACTGATAATAATGGTGGAGTATACCATTTCTTACAAGACCTTTAATTGATGATAATGGTAGAGTGTACCAGGTCTTGCAAGACCTGAAACTGATAATAATGGTGGAGTATACCATTTCTTACAAGACCTGTAACTGATAATAATGATAGAGTGTACCAGGTCTTGCAAGACCTTTCACTGATAATAATGGTGGAGTGTACCAGGTCTAGCAAGACCTTTAATTGACAATAATGGTAGAGTGTACCAGGTCTTGCAAGACCTTTCACTGATAATAATGGTGGAGTGTACCAGGTCTAGCAAGACCTTTAATTGAC